CAGCTTGTAGTAGCAGCTTACACAGCAGCTTATAGTAGCTTACACTGCAGCTTGTAGTAGCAGCTTACACAGCAGCTTGTAGTAGCAGCTTACAGAGCAGCTTCCTTTCTTCTATAAATAGAAGAGATTTCAGTTCATTATGTACATCAGTTTGAATTCGAATAATATATCAGTTTCTCTCTATACTTGTCTTTACTTTATAGTCTTTATTTTATAACAAGAATTGATATAACCTCGAAAAAATAAAGAAGTTGCAACTACAAATTGGCCCGTTGAATCACACGCAAACAACCTTTGCTCTACTACAGCCAAAAGTAAGGAAGACAACTGCATCTATATTGTATTTTCAAATCTCACGTGGAGGCTTAGATCAAGTCGAGATCATAACCTGAGTGGAAGCACTTACCAGACCTCCCAATCGCTTTCCAAACATGGCAATCTCCTATTCTCTTAAAAATTTTAGAGCTTCGGCTAGCACATAAGTAAGAGGAAGAACTTCATCGTTCCATAAAAATTCGTTCCTCATGGCCTAAAGATTCCAAAGGACAACACATGTCTGCCTAGTCTCCAAAGAATTTGAATCATTAGGAACTCTGTTATACTAACGCCTTCCACATCCAGTACTGTCATACCACCCAAATTTCTTTCACCTTTTTGCTATCAAAGAATATATATACTTCGTTGGAAAGTTGATTAACTTTTTGTTTTGAAGAAGACTTACATGGAAGGAAATTAACAAGCAAAACATGAGGTGTATGTATACGGTCAAGATCGTATGCCTTCGATTTATAGGCTCGAGGGTCCCTCTTAGGCCCGAGTCCGGGCGAGGTCGAGTTCGAGACCGGTGGACCAGACTCGAACTTGAAGACAGAGTGCAATGTCCGAAGACAGGAGTTCAAGGAATACTGAGGCCAAGTATGCTCGCCCCCGAAATAGTACCGTTATGGATTCGTACCAGAATGAGCTAGATTCCTGCAACGTCCCCAAGGTTACAGTGCAAATCCCGGAATAGGATTGTACTATTACGTACTAGGCGGTTAGACAGCTGTACCAAGAATATTCCTCACTGTAAATAGAAATATACCTTATTTAGGGTTCCCCTATTATATAAAGGGGACCCCAATCATTTGTAACATCATCTAATCGTTGAGAAAAGAATATACTCTTTACTTTTTCGCCTACTATTCACCAGGATTGTCCTTAGCTTTACTGTTTTTACTCTATTTTTCTTGCTTAATTGTTCCTGTTGTTCTAATCCCACCTCGAGGTCACTAAGCTCGAGGTCACCGCTGTTGGGTAACACTGGTTTGATTCACTTGTCTTTTTCATTTCTACTTCATATTTCTTGATTATCAATTGGTATTGAACTAAATCACATATCTTAAAACGACAAATCAAATTTAATTGTTACTCGTATTTTCGAGGTAAACTGTTTGGCGCCCACCATGGGGCTAAAGATAATAGTGATTATTTCTTTACTGATTCTTGTTACACAAGTTGTTTTTACAATTTTTCTTGTCAAGATTTTTTGATTCTCAAGCTGAAACATGTCTAGCTCACAAAACTCGCCCATTCATGACAATGAAGATCTTGGAGAAAACAGCAACACAGGGGTCGGTGTACCACCGATAAACCCATAGGAAGTGCCAAATATGGAACCAGTTGATGTTAGTTCGCACATCGCTTTGAATGCAGATCTAGGCGCGGACCCCGAAGGAAATATACACAGGGAAGCCCGATCCGGTGGCCAAAGAACACAAGGAATGAGAGATGGAGGAGTCAGCCTCCAAGTGATATTCGAGATGCTGCAAGCTCGGCAAATCGACATCACTCAACTTCAGAGTTAGAATAAAACTCCAAACACAGTCGAACCAGTAAACACTCAGCGTACTGAACTAGCGCTAGAAAGGTCCGATGAAAGTGGTTCGGGGACTGACCCCACGATTATGAGGATGCTTGAAGAGCTGATCGAGTCCGGAGAAAAGAAAATTAAAGACAATGAGAAAAAGGTGAAAACTTATAACTCTCGTGTTGACAAAATACCGGGGGCACCTCCAGTTTTGAAAGGTTTAGATGCCAATAAGTTCATATAAAAAACCATTCCCACCTAGTGCGGCTCCGATGCCCATTCCCAAGAAATTTTGCATGCCCGATATACCCAAGTATAATGGAACAACCAACCCTAACAAGCATATTACTTCATACACTTGGGGGATCAAAGGAAATGATTTGAATGACGATGAGATCAAATCGGTCTTGTTAAAAAGGTTTGGAGAAATGTTGTCGAAAGGAGCTATGATTTGGTATCACAACTTAGCTCCTAACTCTATTGACTCGTTTTCTATGTTAGTAGATGCCTTCGTGAAAGCAGCTCCTAACTCTATTGACTCGTGTTAGCAGATGCCTTCATGAAAGCACACACCGGGGCCATAAAGGTAACCACGAGAAAATCGAATGTTTTCAAAATAAAACAAAGGAATGATGAGATGTTAAGGGAGTTCGTGTCCAGGTTTCAGATGGAAATAATAAAATTACCGCCGGTCTCCGATGACTGTGCAGGGTTTGAATGAAAAGAGCTCGATTGCGTCTCGATAGTTGAAACAGAACTTGATCGAATATCCAGCTATGACATGGTCAGATGTGCACAATTAGTACCAGTCAAAAAATCAGGGTCGAGGACGATCGGTTGGGAGCCCCCTCGGGTTCAGTTCATCCTAACAGATTCACAGCTAAGCCCCTGAGGGACACAGACCGGGAATTGAGATTCAACAAAGAACAGTATCAACCATACGTTGATCGAAGAAACAATGGTACAGGTCGTAACACTCCTCGAAATGATCGGGGAATGATCGAGGCCAAAGTTCTCGGGGACTCATGAGTAAGAGCGGGTTCGATAAGAATACCAACCCCATCGAGGCTCCTCGATTATCAGAGTACAATTTCATCATAGATGCGTCGGGGATTGTCTCAGCTATTGGGAGAATCAAAGACACCAAGTGGCCTATGCCTATACAGACCGATCCTTCTCAAAGAAACCCGAACTTGATGTTCAAGTATCATGGCACACATGGCCATAGAACAGAAGATTGCATACAGCTAAGGGAAGAAGTGGCTCGGTTGTTCAACAAGGGTCACCTTATAGAATTCCTAAGTGATCGGGCTAAGAATCACTTCAGGGAGAGAGATGCAAGAAAAAATGAGCAAGAAGAACCCTGACATGTGATCCACATGATCATCGGCAGAGTCGATGTCCCTCAACGACCTGTATTCAAGCGTACCAAAGTATCAATCACCAGAGAAAAACGGACTTGGAGCTATGTGCCCGAGGACGTCTTATCATTCCGTGATGAGGAAGCAGAAGGCATATCTCAACCTCACAACGATGCCCTGGTAATCTCTATCCTTTTGAATAAAATTCAAGTTAAACGTTTTTAGTGGATCCAGGTAGCTCAGCAAACATAATCAGATCGAGGGTCGTGGAACAACTCGGCCTACAAGATCATATTGTACCTGTATCCCGGGTCCTAAATGGCTTCAACATGGCAAGTGAAACAACAAAGGGAGAAATTATCTTGCCAATAAAAATAGCTGGGACCATACAAGATACAAAGTTCCATGTCATCGAAAGTGACATGAGGTACAACACGCTCCTCGGGAGACCATGGATACACAACATGAGAGTAGTGCCTTTAACTCTTCACCAGATGATGAAGTTCCCAAAGAGGAAGGAGTGAGAGCAACATGCAACAAAGGAGATGTTTGCGATCGAGGAAGTGGTGCCGATACCAAAGCCTTTGACCTCGAAGAAATCGAGCATCGGAGGTAAATAGGTGGACAAATAGCAATCACCGCCTCCAGCCTCGATGGAATCGGAGCAACAGGTAATCGAAGATGAAGATGAGGATTTCCTTACTCGTCGAACCTTCGTCATTCTCGAAGAATCCGATGCAACCAAATCAATTATCGAGGAGCTGGAGTAGGTCATTTTGATCGAATACATGCCCGAGAGAAAGGTATAACTGGGAACGAGATTGACCCCCGAACTTAGGAAAAAACTTATTTAATTTCTTATAATTAATATGGATTGCTTTGCTTGGTCCCATTTAGATATGACAGGGATTCCACCGGAAATCACCACGCATCGGCTAAGCACCGATCCCAAGTTCAAATCGGTGAAGCAAAAAATGAGGCCTCAGTCCGAGATAAAGCATGCTTTCATAAAGGACGAGGTAACCAAACTTCTTAAAATAGGATCCATACGAGAGGTAAAGTACCCCGAGTGGTTAGCCATTGTAGTTGTAGTTCCTAAAAAAATGAAACAAACTTAGAATGTATGTAGACTATAAGGACTTGAACAAAGCATGTCCAAAAGATTATTTCCCACTGCCTAATATCGATCGTATGATCGATGCCACGGCCGGCCACAAGATCCTAACTTTTCTTGATGCCTACTCTAGGAACAATCATATTCAGATGAACCCGGCGGACCAGGAAAAGACTTCGTTT